GTAAGATAGACAAAAATGAGACTTACATACACTTGAATAAGAAGAAAGTCTTATCTTCCATCTTACTTCTCTTGTCTTCATCTCTTTATATTTATATTGTCATGAGCTTGATTTTATAACAATCCCGTCATTAACTAATATTCTGTTTTATAAGTTTAATCTAATTTATATATTATATTATATTAGAGATAAAGTGAAGAAATATCAATATAATAGTAATTAAAAATTAGTATTAATTAGATATATTAAACATCATAATAAACTTTTAAATATAATTTGGATGTCAAAAAAGTAGTATAAATTTATTTTACGACTTTCATAAAAGAAATGAATATTAAAGAAATTAAAATGAAAGAAGTGATGAAAAAAAGTTTAAAATATTTTTAAATCACGTGAAATTGAATAAAAATACTCTTTAATAAATATTTTTGAGTGGATCAACATCCACATTAATTTTTTCTAAATATTAGTAATAAATTAAATTTAAAGAAAATAATAGCGAGGGGGTTCCTACTCCCAAGGTCTAAAATCTAGTAAGCTTTGCGTAAACGTGAAGGAAAAAACAATTGGTGGAAATACAAATACCTAAAAAAATAAAATTGGTTGAAGGAACCTGCGATACATTGAAAATCTGATTCTTTTTTCTCTCTCTTCAACTTGGTGCGGCGGCGGCGAAGGATACGGCGTAGTTGGTGGTGCTACTGGTGGTTGCCGGTTATGTAGCGACTCTTATTAAGGGAAAAATCTAATGTTTACCCACCAGATTTTCGCCGGAGAAGATGGCGGAGTTAGCTGTGTTGATTGATCTGATTCTACCGTTTTTTTGAAGCAAATATTGTATTTGTTCATACCCAAATTTCAGGTTTATTTCTTCTCTTTCATCTTTTTTTAGACCCATTTTTTGGTTTTTATTTTGGGGGTTTTCCCTGTTTTTTCTATGATTTTTCTCTCTTCAGATTTACAAGTTCCCATTTCTAGCAAACATTTATGTTTAATTTATTCTAATTTTGAACCAATCTATTTTGGGGTTTTCTTGTTTTTCTAGATTTAGAATTTCTTATTTTTTTCTCCATCTATTTTCTTTTCATGTCAAAAAACCGAGCTCTATCTTTCTATTCCTTTTTGGTATTAATTTGCCTTTTTCTGAGACGAGTATGTTAATTGCAGGTGTATTTTTGTTGCTCAATTTTGGAGCTGACAATTGATTTCTAATGAAGTTATGTTATTTAAAAATATATTCTTGAGCTGTGCTAGAAATTGTGTAAATATCAAAATGTCTTTATGAAGGTGGGTGTTCTAAGTTGTGGATGTATTGTTGTTGCTTAAATTTTGGAATGGGATAGCGGGTTCCTGAAAAAAGTTCTCATTTTGCAAATATCTATGTTTAGTTTCATCTTTAATGTAATGAGTTGGACTCGAATGGTGCGAAATGGTTGCGGAGGATTCATTTAGCCGGCCTTGACTTTGTTTGGAATTAAGGCGTAATGGATGATGGAGTGACACAATATTATACATCTCTAGCTTATGAGGGCATGACTCTAAATAGGAAGATTTGGAGGTCGAGTATTAGGACAGGAAGGTAATAGGTTGCTGAGCATTGCAGTATTAGTTAGTATACTTGTACTATATTATTCTCCTAATTTTCACTAATATCTGTTGTTTTGTTTGTTCTGTTTGTCTTGCTATTTTGCTGCTGATTTGTTTTTCTTTCTGTCATGCTTTGATTACAATTTTTGAGCTGAGGATCTATTGGAAACAACTTCTCTACCCCACAAAGGTAGGGGTAAGGTTTGCGTATATTCTAGCCTCCCTAGACCTACTTGTGGGATTACATTGTGTATGTTGTTGTTTGCTATTGATGATTGATTGGCACAGACTAAATTATGTAGTGTTAGATCTGCTTTTAAAAAACAGATTATGTAGTCACAAAAAATGGAAAATTCTTGAAAGTTCTTTTTCATAGACAGAAATTTGATCTTTGAACTATGGCTCTTCGTATTTACTTTCATATGTTCTTTAAATTCTTCCAAATTCCTTGCCATCTCATTGTAGGAAAGGTCTTGTTGATTTGATCAATAGAGATGTCATTCAAGAGCATTGTCCGCGAGCTGAAGGAAATGAAAAATGGGATAGGGTTATCAAGGAGAGGAGAAGTAGAAGGAAGGCACTGGCGCAACAGAACTCGGTCACATATAGCTCCTGATGTGGTTCCTTTTGATCCCAATCAACAAGGGCAATGGGCAAATATACCACCGGAACTGCTTTTGGATATTGTCCACAGGGTTGAAGAGAGTGAGACATCATTTCCTGCTCGGACAGCAGTAGTCTATTGTGCATCTGTTTGCAAGTCATGGAGGGAAGTTACGAAAGAGATTGTCAAGACTCCTGAAGAATGTGGTAGGCTTACATTCCCCATTTCACTAAAGCAGGTATTCTCCTTTATCTGTTTGATTATTATCTTATACTTTGTTATCACCAATAAAGAAGAAACAACTGAGAGACAACTGTTTTTCCCTTTGTGCTTTGGACCAGCCAGGTCCCCGTGAATCCCCAATTCATTGCTTTATCAAACGGGACAGAGCTAATTCGGTTTTTCGTCTCTACTTTGGTTTGACTCCATGTAAGTCACTCTTTTCTGCTGACGCTGCTCCTTTTCTTCTCGACACTTGAATTTGTTCATATAAAATTGTTGTGCACCTTGGAATCAGCTTTAAGATGTATATTACATATTTGATCATGAGTGAAGTTCATTTTCTAAATTTATACGTTTCTTTTCATCCTTTGACACTTCCAATTATAGAATGAAATTGATTTTTCACATTATGTTTCGTTTGGTATCAACTTCAAGATCTACCTTGTTTATTTGGTTTGATGCCGCACCTGTGTCGAATTCTCCAAAAATACACTACTTTTGGAGAATCTGACACACTTGCTGACATTTTAGAGTCAGAGCAACATAGCTTCAAGTTATATATACTGGACCACACCGGAACTGCAAAACTTTGTATTGCTTCTTAGTTTTGTGGTTTAGAAGGGGAGTCTTGGCTTAATGGATAAAGTTTCTTCCATGTGATCAGGAGGTCACTAGTTCGAGCTGTCGAAACAGTCTCTTGCAAAAACGCAAGTTAAGACTGCGTATAATAGACCCTTGTGGTCCGGCGCTTCACCCGAACCTCGCACATAGTGATAGCTTAGAGCACTGGGCGTGCCCCATTTTTTTAAGGTGTTGTAGTTCAATCTTTTGGCACTGAAAAGTACAAATCTGATTTGCTACCTCATGACAGCTGAGGATATGAGTGATAAACTATTGCTGGCTGCCAAAAGGATCAGAAGGGCAACAAGCACAGACTTCGTAATTTCATTGGTTTCAGATGATTTTTCTCGAGCTAGCAGTACATATGTCGGCAAACTGAGGCAAGTTCCCGTGAACTACTTATTTTTCTATAGCTAAACCATCATTAATGTCCTTTGTGATGTCAAAAAATGGGAAGGTTCTATTACCTTACATTCTGTTCAATAACTTTATAAACTTTGATCAGATCCAACTTTCTTGGAACCAAGTTCACCATATATGATAGCCAACCTCCAAGTGATGCAGCGATTCAACATCGTGGTAGACTTAGTCGACGTTTCAGTGCTAAGCAAGTATCCCCAACAGTATCTGCATGCAATTACAGTATAGCCACCATTTCCTATGAACTCAATGTTCTCCGTACAAGGGGACCTAGGAGAATGCATTGCGCCATGCATTCCATCCCTTTCTCCTCTATCCAAGAGGGAGGCAGTGCTCCAACGCCTACATCATTCCCACAATCTTTTGATGAGAGGCCCTCTAAAGCCAAGGAGCCAGCTGTAAATATCAGCTCATCAGTGTCTGGGCCTTCTCGAGAGCCACTTGTGCTTAAAAACAAGGCCCCTCGATGGCACGAACAATTGCAGTGCTGGTGCCTAAATTTCAAAGGCCGCGTGACAGTGGCATCCGTGAAAAACTTTCAGCTTGCGGCAGCAGTTGATCCATCTCACAATATACCAGCTGCAGTACAAGAAACTACAATTTTACAATTTGGGAAAATTGGAAAAGACATCTTCACCATGGATTACTGCTACCCGCTCTCCGCCTTCCAAGCTTTTGCAATCTGCTTGAGCAGCTTCGACACGAAACCAGCGTGTGAATGATTTCGTGCTCAGATTGTAAATTCTTGATGTTTTTCTAACATCAGGTTGCTGCATAATGTTATGAATTAATGTTTAGTCAATCTGAGAAGTTCTAAATGGAAGGCAATATTTATCAATGAGAATATCAGTATGTAACTAACATTAACTGTTGCTAAGATAGTTTGTAAGTTCTATAATTCAATACTAAATATCTATTTAGATGGGAAATGATCTAAATTCAGGTCAAACCACTCAACATCGGAGTGGGTTGATCCGGGAAGAGATCCAAATAAGTAGAATAGAAGTTGACCATAAGGACATATTTTTTTCTAAAATGATATAATTTTTTCTAAAATGATAGATACTATATTCTCGAGTTAATATCTCAGATGGTCACTCAACTATGCACTTTTCTCTCAGAAAGTCACTCAACTTTCAATTTTCACTCAAAAGTCACTCAACTATGCAATTCTTTCTCAGAAAGTCACTCAACTTTCAATTTTCACTCAAAAGTCATTCAACTATGCAATTCTTTCTCAGAAAGTCACTCAACTTTC